GGAGTTCCACCGTTGGGAAGCTGCTCGGTCGAGCAGAGATCGAGGAGGCCGCGTGCGTGAATGGACCGCGAGAAACGCGAGAAGATAGTCGCGAGCGAGATTGGCAAGGAGAGTCGTGGATCGTGGATCTGTCGTGGGGCTAGGGCACGGGCGAGGAGCAGTCGCGGGATCGAGTCGAGCGCAAGATGGGGAATTTAATCGTGCCAGGAGAATGGGGAAATAGATATTAGGGTTTTATTATTATATAATTAAAAAGAATAAGTATGAAAATACTTAATTTTTAAAGTAAAATTTTGATTTGCACATTTTAATTCGTGTGTAAAATCATTGTAAATTGGATGTTCCTTTTAAGTAATTTTGACGCTCCGGACGCATTGACGCGATCTGTTTCGCCACCGGAAGTCGTTTTGACGAATTTATCAATTTGCGTGTCAATTTTGTCGTGTCGAAAGTATGGCAATATGGGTGTCCTTTCCTACCAAAATTGGTATCCCAGACGCGTTGGCGCAGTCCAATTTGTCGTCGGAGGTCATCCGGAGAAGTTCGCATTTTCACCCGTCCTTTAGGCTTAATTGAAGTCTGATTTCGTGCAATTTTGTGAACTTTGTGTATTTGGTGTGTGTATGTGACGAAAAAGTCATGACAATGTTTTCCTAAGGCTTGGAGTCCTATTAGGAACTTTTCCTCTGAATCTTCGCAAAATAACTCATAACCGCTCGTTCATAAAATGATGGTCTTGTGCCAAAAAATGCTAGACATCAAAGAAAAATAGAAAGTGGTTAGAATTTCTAAAAGGGTGAGTCTTAATTCTAGTTTTCTAAGATGGTCAATAGAAATTCCTAGAGCTAGATCCTAAGACCCTAGAAAAGTAAATGACCTCAAAAATGAGGTCAACGGTGGGTAGGTGGCTAACAAGAATGGGGAGCGGGGCCGGGCAGCACAAGAAGGCGACAAGGACAGCAGTATCAAGTAGGAAGGATAGAGGGGATTGTGGCGACTGTCTGGAAGGTTGGAGGGTTGGCGACTGCGAAACGGGGAAGGGGAGGGATGCAGGAAAGATGGCATCACAGAGAAAAGAGGAAAATACGCATCACCTCGGACGAGTTACAGTTGAAGCAACTTCTCACCATCAGACACAACCTTAGAAGGGAAAAAAGGGACATCAGAGGCTGTTCAAACAGAAAACTCAAGAAAAACTAAACCCAAATTAAATAACAACATATTTATAACTTCAAATTTATAAATAGAATGGCTTTTTTATGTTTTAGATTTCAATTTTGGTGTCGTTTTGTTGCTAAAAATGAAATGCAATGTAAAAGGTTTGTAGATCTTTGATTATAATGTATTTGAAAAATTTTTGAGTTGTTTGGCTTACAGTAAAATAAACGTAAGACTATATTTTTTTTTTTCTTGGTTTGAAGTAGATTGAAAACAATGTATTTACTTGAGCAAAAGACAGCGCGCAAAAGCCGGGAATAGGCGACGATGACAAAGGCAACCGGCGACAGCGGACTGGTATTGGCAGAGGGCAGCTGCGGATGGCAACAGGCAGAAGCAAGCGGCGACGGCGGCGACGACAGCTCGCAAGGGCAACAACGGCTGGAAAGGACGACGGCAGCTGGCGAGGGCCATAGCGACAGTGGCAGACAAAGACGGCGACGAGCGACAAAGGATGGCAACGCCGGCAGAGTGCGGGAGGCAGTAGGGGGAGGGGGGAGGCGGGAGGCGGGTTGTGGCAATTTGCCTATAACATTTTATATGAATGATGTAATTCAAATTCGGCCAAATTGATCGAATTCTAAGTTCATTCAAAAAGAACTATGGTATAAAGTTCAAATCAATTAAAAATTTACATTGTATTTGTAAATTTTCAAACTAAATATAATACTCACAAATCTATGCAAAAGAATTACAGTACACCACTAATTCACTCAACCAAACGACGCCTTTATTATAAAATGAAAGCGTTTGATAGTTTTTCTCAGTTCTACCAACAGTTCCAACCTTGATAATTGAAAGCTACCGGGTTGGGTCGTGACAGAATATAATATTAAGATGAGAAAAAAACCTTCAAATATAATATAAGAGGCATCTTCCATGCATAATGTGTATTAAATCCACACCTTAACCTATCCCCAATTCACTCCAATACTCCTTGATATGGATAATTCTTCTCAAGCGCCAAATAGTAAAAGTTGAGCAAGTTTATTCAACCATATCAAATATGAACTAAGACTGAAAGAAGTACATTGTACTGACCAAAGAGATTAAGACATATTGGTGCAACCACATGAACTTATCAAACAATGTGGCATGTGACAAACTTGAGGGCTTGAGAACCTCCTCAATTAGAACTCTAGGGTAGATGCATATCTTCCTCAAAACCAAATTTTAAGTAAATTAAAGAAAACAAGATATATTTAGTATAATGTTCCAACAAGACAATGTACAGAAAAAGTAACAAAGAGAAGATCTAGATGGACAACGAAGAATCTTCAAAATAAAATAAAAACCCTCAATCTTTTAAAAATATTTCAAGCCTTCAAAACATGAAGAAAAAGCAAGCAAACCATAGGAAAAGTCTAGGCAATTTTTTTGGCAAATGATAAAAAAATGATTGAGCAAATAAATAAATATAGAAACCTGGAACTAAAACATTAAAGAAAAATCATTTATATGAAAGCAACAGGTAAAAGACCTTGCCATAAAAAAATTGAAACTAATTATAGCCACTTTAAGAGATTATAACAACTAAAACTATTATAACGTAAAGTAACTAAGAGCTCAATCAAAATGGACGATTTACCTTTTTTGGTAGTCTTTGCAAGAATGCAATTAATTCGCCAGGATGGTCGTTACCATCTCCGCCAGGACGAACCTTCCCGGGAGTAGCATCAAGGATCCAAACCTTCGAACAAGAAGAACAATAAATGAATAGGCTAATTAATCCTGTGCCGATAAATTGCTTTCGTAAACATCTGATGCCACTTGAAAGATTTGGCATTAAATCTGGAAAAGATATCGTACAGAGAACATCATTACCCTCAGAGGACGTGCAAGGGGCTTCGCAGCTTGGTCTACCATACTTAAGGCAACTGGAAGCGAGCAAGATTAGGCACATAATAGTTTATTTTATCCTGACAACTTCAAAAAAAAAAAATTGCAATGCGTGTAGTTGTAGCCACTACCATGCTAAAATGTAGGTTATCAGTACCTTTTCCTCCAAAGCTGTGTCCAACTAAAACTCGAGGAATTATCCTTAGTTGTCTCACCTAAGTAATACAACATAACTTTCAAATTTCTCTCTTTTAGCAGAGTAATAAAAATAGAGAGGTAATGAAAATAAAAATAGAATTAAATGAAAACATGACATTCAATAGGACACAATGGAGAAAAAAATGATTCATGTAGCCGACCACATTTAGTGGGATAAAGGCTTGTTATTGTTGTTGTTGTAGTGCCATAGATCATCAAAAATCTAACTAAAGAGAGAAAAAGTTCCGAAGAACTACATAGAGATTGTAATGCCAAATAAACAGTAGGTGAATGACTATTGCAAAGGCATATCTAGAATCCTCTAAGAAAATAAGCTATGCATGTTGAGATGGATGCTCTTCGTTATCGGTAAAATATGGGAATAAGTTGCCCATACCTCTTGGATCAAGCTAATCAGCTAGTCAATGATGTTTCATTATCTAGTTTCATTAGGGCGACTTAGCTAGTTACCAAATGTCTGAAACAAATTTATGAGATAGATTATTTTGATACTTCTTATTCAGTCAAAAAACTTCATTCTCACATTTATAATCATTGAGATCATCAATCAAGATTAGTCCATGCTGCAAATGGATATTAGTAATATCATTCTTTTTTATGATCAAAATGAGGCAGTGTTCATAAAAAAATATGCCAGGAATATTACTCAAAAGGAAGAAATGCATATGCCTACTTAGGAAAGCATATATGGGCTCAAGCAATGTAATATTTCGTTTCATCTACTGGGATAAAAATCGAAACATCAAATCGAGAGGAAAGAGGAAACAAGGAAAAGAAGATGAAAAAAACAGTTAGAAGCCGAAGAGTGAGAGGTTCCCGTAGTCAAAGAGATATTTTCGTATATAAATACATGCGTAGGAGGTCGGTGGAGGCGAGTCGACTTACCTGAAGAGTCGAACAACGAGCTCAAAAGACGACAAGCGCAAATTAAGGCAGAGGCAACGTCTCTGTCAAGCGAAGGAGGAGGATGTTGGTGACTAGCAGAGGAGAGGAAGAAGAAGATGTGAGTCGAGACACTCTTGAAACATAGTCAAGCTTCGATCTGGAGGGAGTCGAAGCCGAACCCTTGTACGTAGGAAGAAGAAGAAAAACGGCGAGAAGAACAATTGAGTTGCATCGTGAAGTCGAGGGTACTCGTATGCAGAGGGAAAAAATATTACATCAGGACTCCGCACGTAGAGTTGCATGCGGAGTTCAATGAAATCAAGTCACACACGTGAATGTTAGAAAAAAAAAACCTGTCCGGTAACAAGGTAATATTCCTCCCGTGTTATTCAGGTGTTATTATGTGTTATTCAAGTGTTATTGTATTATTATAACACCAAGAATATTCTCAGAACACAATAAAACATGAATAACATACAATAACACCTGAATAACACGGGGAAATATTCCCGTGTTACCAGAAATATTCCTCTGCGACGTGATTTCATTGGACTGCGTACGTAACTCTACGTGCGGAGTCCTGATGTAATATTTTTTCATGTAGAGGAGGTCACGACGGGAGAAGAAGAAGAATACGTGCGGGCGCTGAGCTAGGCTGAGCTTACAAGGTAAGAATTATAAATTTTGTATTTTAATATTATATATTACTTGGTTTATATTTATATAAATCTTTGTGTGTAATATTAATAAATATTAGTACATAGATAATAAAAAAGATTTATTTGAAATATGAAAATAAAGTTTAAAATTAATTTTTTAAATCTAAGTGGATATTTATTGAATATTGAATAAAATCATAAATGTTGTTTTAGCTAAAATTTTGAAAATCAAATTAAAGTGACATGAATACTTAAAATAAAGCTTCTAATCAATAATTAAAATTACATAGTAATTAAGAGATTAAAAAAGTATAATTAATTATATATTTAAGCTTTATATTTTTACACTATTGTAGACAGCTAACTATTGAAGACAAAAATTAAATGTGTTTGAAACAAGCATACAACTTTGAGGTGAGTACTCATGTTCTTCTATTATGGTAGTATTTTGTATCTTCTAGACCGAATGAATTAATTAATACTTTCATTAGTTATATGGTAAATGACTGCAACACATGATTTTGAATTATAGTGAATTTTGTTCATATTAAACGAATGATATGTGTGTACATCCGTATTGAAAGAGTTGACTGTTATGCAAATGAGAAATGAATGTTTTTTTTTATTGGAAAGTAATATTTTTATTCGATGCTTGTCTTTCCATCATTAACTATTATGGAATCACCTCTTGACGGTACTAATAGGGGAACACAAATATGCCCGTGGACGTAAATGAAAAAAGATATTGATATTGATGTATTTTAATTGACACACTTTTTAGACGGTGCCCATATAAGTTGTAAATATATGATATTGATATAGATTCCTTAAATAGTATGTTAAATGTTTATAGATTCTTTAAATAGTATGTATAGAAGGTAATGATTTCATACCAAGATAACGACCTCGAACGTCGCCTAAACTCCAATTAAGACCAACTAAAAATATGTAAACCTGGCTGTTTTCCTCTCCCTTCTTAAGGCGGCGTAATCATTCGAATTGTCCCAAATATCATCATAGTATTGAACAAACTCATGTCATAATATTACCAACTCATTGTAATGGATAGTAACATCACGATCATTCTGATTGGATTTTCAAAGCTTGTTGAGTTTTCAAATAAAAAATTTGAGTAGAATTCTCTAAGTCTAAATAAAGATCTCGAATGGCCTCCTTGACATCTTTAGCAGTGAGACAAAATAAGTGAATTTTCCTATGGTAGATTCCATAAAGTTGACTAGCCAAGCAATAATAAGAGAGTTTTCAACTTGTTATTTCTTTTAATTAGGATCACTAGCAAAAGGCTTCGAGATTTCACAATTAAATGCCCAATTTTGCCTCTCCCGTCGATTGCCAATTTTATGGATTAACCTCACTCGAGATAATTGTGTCCATTGAGTTTTATAACCGTAAGTAAATGGGTTGCATTATGGATAATAATCAACAGATACAGACATAAGAGAAGTTGTGGGGTGAGGCGACGAGATTTATAAATTATTGTAACCGATAGGTATGTGAAATTGTCTTAGGGCCTCAGTCATCGCCAACTTGTATGACATCATCAGGATAGAGAAGATGATGGGGAAAAAGATGAGGAACAACTGTCATGAGAAGCTCCAATGCTTTGGTCGGGTAATTAAGGCCCAAAGGTGAAAGGGTGTTGTTGAGGAAGTTGAAGCCCACGAATGGGTTCTCGAGGTCGAGATTAGCGTGGTTTTGCACCGCCTCTGCTATAGCAAGATTCGTGCTTCGCAAAGCCCTAGCTCTGATATCATGAAAGATTTTGTGAGAAGAAAAAAATACTAATTCGCCTTAGATTTCATAAGAGATGTTTACGAGCTAAATAGCAAAGGAAGGCCACCAAATTTGAAATGCCAAAATCAGCCACAAAATCCTCATACTAGAAAATAGGAAACTACCAACAACTGAAAATTCTAACAAAACAAAATAATGTAGATTGAAAAACTCTAATTTTCGCCCTAAAATTCCAACAAAGAATAATATAGAGTAAAGGCCCACCTAACATTTAGAAGGATGTGGTTCAAGACTGTAATGGAAGAATTTTATATTTCATCAAAGGACCAGGCACATTGAGGTTGATTGTTATTTTATATAGAATGTTTTTACTCATATTTCCAATTCAAAATATGTGCTGAATATTTAGGACTTCTCTCATTTTCTCACTTTGTGACATTGATATATATATATATATATATTGAAAGCCCAAAGGCTAATATATTAAATAGAAAGAAAAATGCAGATACAATGTGTGGGAGAGCCCAAGCATGACACCCTGCCCACACAATAACCACACATGGTTCCAAAACTAGAAAATACAGAAAGGTACATGAGAGGCTTAAAAAAAAGCCTAAAAGTGTCGAAAAACAAAGTATCAGGTGGTTGGAGAGCGACCCACTTTGGCTTTGCCTTTGCCCCCAGTTTTAGTGAAAGAGTCGGCTAATAAATTGGTAAGATAAGTGTCATTGTTAGTAGTAACCAATGTATCATCCAATAAGTTCTCTAGCTCGAGTCGGCCTCCATTCTTCTTTTCTTCTTCCTCCTGGAATAGACAATGTCATTCCTCCTCCGAAGATTGGCTCACCTGATCTTGGTCTAAAGTGTGTTGGACATGTGAAAGTTGTTGAACATTAGAAGCAACTACATGTTGTACCAGTTGTTCTTTAATTAAATCAAAAGAGCACTCTCGTGTGTCTTGACATGTAAGTGAGTCATCTTCAATAACAGTGGGTGGTATAAGCACAACTGGATCTGTAGTTGTAGTATGGTATTCTTCGTCAGGAATTGTGGTGTTGGAATCGGGTTGCATCTTCTCATTCTCAACAGGGATGATAGATGGCTGATCTTTAGCGATATCTGACCTTAGATGAGGATGCAAGCGATAGTAAATAGTGGAACTGTGGTCAAACATACTGCAATGAGAGCAATAAGGAAGGTGTGATTCTATTTCAACCTTTTGCCAATACCCGTTGTGAGTGGTTCCAATCCATACATCATCCGTAGCTGGTTAAGTGATATCTCTCTCAACTAACACACAAGCCATAGAGGGTCTGGATACAACAAGCGTAGGGCTATCAACCTTGAGAGGCTTACCGTAAGCAGTTGCTAAGGAGTAGATAATTTCCAAATTGAACAGATGCAATTTTAACCACAGAAATTTTATCCAAACTGGAATGATAGGGGACTCCGCTTTATGATCAAAATCAACAGTCCACTTAAGAATTTTCATATAACGGTTGCCGATCTTGATGACTTTCCGAGAAAAAATACAAGTGTAATCGACATCGTAAGATAACTGAATCAGTATGTGTCAACCGTCAAGTAAAACAATATTCCAACTGCCCAACAGCTTCATAGCATCAAATTCTTTTCAAATAATCTCAAATTTTGGGTGACCATAAAAAAATTTTTCCACTACAGTAAAACGTCAAGAA